TTGCAAGTTGTCAATTATTTTAAACATTCTCCACCCAAAATACATGTGAACTTGAACTGGCAGTGAAATGAACTGTCAGTAAAATGAACTGTCGGTAAAGTGAACTGTCGGCAAAATGAACTGTCGGTAAAGTGAACTGTTGGTAAAATGAACTGTTGGTAAAATGAACTGTTGGTAAAATGAACTGTCGGTAAAGTAATTGTCAGTAAAGTAATTGTCGGTAAAGTAATTGTCGGTAAAATGAACTGTCAGTAAAATGAACTGTCGGTAAAATGAATTTTCGGTAAAATGATTGTCGGTAAAATAATACGTCGGTAAAGTGATTGTCGGTAAAGTGAATGCCTCCCATATGTTTCTTGGCGAGTATTATAAATACGACTTGAATCCATTTCACTTCTCAATAAAATATTAAAAGTTAAAACGAAGTTTAAAAACAGACTTTAAGACATAATCAAAATAAACAAAATTTATATTATACATATTCTGATTTTCATTCAAAGGTATGATAATCAAAATAACCATTTTTCTTTTTTTGACGTATATTTGTTTCCATAAATGTTAATTTATTGTTTCTTTCATAGATGTCTCAAATCAATGTTTCGGATGTATTACCTTCATTGTCCTTGATTGTCATTCTCGCGTGGTTTTCTATTGGTTCCATTAAGAACTATTTTAATGAAAAAAATACCCGTGACGTTGATATCTTAAATGTTATCAAGCAACAAGTTACTGAAGAAATAATCTTATATGATTCTAAACTGCATGCCGATTTTAACGCTCGCCTCACTTCAGAACTTAATACACGTGATACTATCTTAAATGCGGAGGCGCAGAGAATCTTGTCGTCAATTATTTCTTTAACCACAAGACTTGATAACATTGAACAAGTTCTTGAATGCTATAATAATCATTTTAGTAGAATTTCAACCGAATTCGATTCAATTAATGAATCTATTGCAACATTCCATAATCTACTCAATCAACGTTATGCAATCATCCAAAGAATCGAACAAGATCAGCAAAGTGAAACGAACCTATCTGAAGCTTCTTTTAATTCACCCACTTCCTCTGCTAGTTCTACCGATTCTCTTAATTCCTCTGCTAATTCTTCTGGTAAGATAATAAATCTGGATTTGCTGATTATAAATGCATGTAATGCACGGACTAGTCTGATAAAAAATCGACTAATTTGAATTTTTTTTTTATATATAGGCTCAAGTCAGCAATCATTTTCAAGAATTTCATTAACTGTCTGGACATGTTTTAAACAAATCTTCGATACGAATATGGCCCTGAAGGGTTATAATCTTGATGAAATGTATTGTTCCGTATCTATGCACATTCATGAACTTGGAGGAAGTATTAAGCCGATAACAGTAAAAAATTTTTATAATAGAAGTAGTGGTTGTAGATCGAATACCGTAGACCAGATTGGTTTATGGATAGATAATATGGAGTAGTAAGATGGAACCGCTATTTTAAGGTTTAGGGGCCAGCATGATTCCTCCCTTTAAACATTTACTACTCCAATATTTTTATTGTATTAGTTTGTATATAAAAAATAATAAAGATATAGTTATCATAATTTTTTAAAAAAATAAGATCACGTATCAAAATTTTTCGCTCTATTATATGTAATTATCCAGATCCATACCGATGTCAGTCTCTTTGAAAACGTGTTTGACACTATTATCGTCCATATTCCATCCTCTTTTGATATTACCGCATTTCCATAAATGAAGGAATTCCCACTTATGTGTCTGATGTATGAGATTCAAGTCTCATTTAATCCATAACCTTGATCTGCTTTTTTAAGTATATAATTTGTGTACTTACCTCCAATAAATTCCTCAACCATATCTTCTTCGCGAAATCCAGAAGGAAGTCCGAGAAAATATTTGACTTTATTTTTCTTAGATGCGGGTATGAAATAGTTGAATGTCTTTTGAATGTCTTTTCCATATCGTTTCTAAAATTATATTGATGAATTAGTAGAAAATTCAAATTTGATAATCTACCTGCATAATCAATCAGATAATAATATTATTATTGTATGACATTTATGGGGCTGTGCAACAAAAAATTATTTTTAGGTTTTCAAAATTTCGATGCGTACAACCACCTGACTATATATGATGTAATTTGCATGCATGTTTATTTGTGCGATTAACCAAATTCGATTAATTAGCATTCATGTTCATTCATTTTCTTTGTGAGAGAAATTTTTGGCGTAAATATATTCTTTATTTCTGAATTGTTTCATTCAATAAATCTAGAGGAACACATGGAAGGAATACATTTAAAAAGGGCAGTATATTGAGTTATAAATATTTATTGCTTTTTTATTTGCAATTTTGTTATTAATTCATATATTTTTTAATTGAAAAATGGAAGCATTCTTAATATCTTTTTCACCTGTTTTGGCTATAAACATATTTACCGCTTTATGTAAACGAGTAGAGTCTGGTGAGTGGACGAATGATTGTGATAAGGAGATAGAGAACTTTATTAAAACATTGGATAAATCGTTAAGTGTAGTAGATATAGATAACACTGAAAGATTAGAGAAGCTCCATGGTTTCGGAACTGGTGATACATTGAAATGGCGTGTAAGTTTCTAAAAATTATTAAGAGTTTAGAGTAAACTAGATATGATGAATTAATTGGTTTTCTTGTGGGGGTAACGAAAAATACTTATTAGAGAGGATATCAAAACATATTGTTACATATTTTTGTTATTCCCATCGCCAAGGCGGATAACATATAAGGTGGTATTTAGGTAGTGAATGGACCTTGTCTTTGTAGTATTAATACTATGTTGACGTGGGCAGTAACTGCTTATGTACATAAAAACATCATATATGAATTCCACTAAGGTTATATCATTAATAGCCGGCTATTCTTGAAATTTATATGAAAAAAGAAAACCAATCTGATCACGCGTATACATAAATGATATTGGATATTTTTATTTGCATCTGGTTAACATTTCTTATTATATTTTACCTCTATAGGTAGAGGAGGCATTTGAATATATTCGTTCTTCATTGGAATTGAAAGTTTTGGTATGCTTTTAATCATGACATACCATTATTTCTGAGGAATTAAAACCAATAGTAAATGACTAAGAATTACGATTATAGAATGTCAAGGAGCCCTGGTTCGTAAATGCGTCTAAAAATTTCATTACGTTGAAAAATGAAGTACATAAGGTTTGTATTTAAGCGGAAATAATCTTTTCTTTTTACGCTCTTCGCTAATATAAAATTTTTTAGCTTGTATTTTCGACATTTGGTGACGAGAAAATAATGTGGAAAGAGATAGAGGATCAGTTAAATGAAATAAAAGTTGGAGATTTAGGATACAATCATCCATTATGCTCCAGCATATTGGATATTAGCTCAACCCCCTTCACAAAAATGTCACAAAATTCCTGCAATTTTTTTAATGCTATATCTGATAAATTCTTAATTCCAGATGATGAAGTGTTAAAGACTATCTGCGAGGATTTTGTTCGTAATGAAAAAGAATTTCTTTCTGCAAATGCACCTATTTTTTTTGGCGATGCGAGATTTGGTGAATTTTTAGATGGACCGGAAATGTTACAAACAATGACAAATCAAATGTTAGCATCGTTGAGTCGAATATGGAGATCTCCAAAATGGAAATCATATGGAAGCTCTAAAAAGCCCACTATAAATGAAGGATCGTACGTTTGTGAGGTTTTATCACCATTGATGAATATCTTAATGAGTGATTTGCCTATGGATACTGATATATGGGGGATATGGTAATATTTAGTTTAAATATACAGTGCACCCTACCTTAAATGCACGGCCCATCTCATCCCCAAGCTTATAGAGAGCTTATAAAATCACCCTCCATAAATCCACACCCTCCATAAATGCATGCTCACAAGAAATAGCACTATGTTCCCGAGGGGGGTGCACTTATAGAGGGTTCACTGTATGCGATTATCGGTTTGTCTATTATATGAGCTAAGAAATGCTAACATATTTTTGGATATAAGGGGGGAGCAGGCGAGTTTGGCTAGTGCGGAACAGAAGGGATCTTATAAGAGTGCATGTCGACCAGATTTTATGATTGTTGCAGAAATAAAAAATAAGATCGTTGAAATAGGATATCTCGAAACGGGTAAACCAGATTCTTCGTCAGATAAACAATTGTGAGATCATAATAAACTACATCATGAAATTTTTAGGTAGGTCGATCCACATAAAACCACATAGGTTTGCTTAGAAACATGTGGAATTCTATGCATTGAATCATGTGGACAAGTTTCCATAGAGATCCACATTAGAGTTGCCTTCCGAAACTCATGAGTTTAGAACTATTCGAAATCTAAACCATTCTAAACTGGTTTAGAAAATGGGCCCGAATTCCTAAACTGTTCGAAACTCCTAAACTGTTTTTGAAACTCCTAAACTGTTTTTGAAACTCCTAAACTGTTTTTGAAACTCCAAAAAATTCCAAACCAAACAAATAAATCTTTATTTTTTATTTTTTCTTAATAAAAAAAAACAACCAAAAT